TTTTTTTTTTTTTTTTTTTTTTTGACCAAAGGAAAGATTAATTCCATTTTCAGTCTGTCAGCAGATAGTTTGGGGGGGATTTGCAGAGGCAGGATGAAGGGCTGTGAGGCTGCACGGGCACTTTCAAGAGCTTGGAGGTAGGAAAGAAGCACAGGTAAAACTGCTGGAGAGCCAAGTGCTCTGAAGCCTGGGCTGTGCTCAGCACCAGCTCTGACACCGCTGCTGGCACAGCACTGTGGTAAGCAGCTCCTGGTCCTAGTCTCCTCCTCTTGTAGCCCTCACCCAGGCCTCCCCTCTGTCTAACTGTTAGGCCAGGGTCTGTCTGACCCCAGACATCACGGTAATGGGATTGCATAGTTTTACAGCTGAAGCTTTTCGCCAGGTCTCCCACATGTACCAGTAGGATGTACCATCTGCACCCCAAGCCTCCCTTGGCTCTGGTGGGGCGCCTGTGGAGCTTGTCTTGGTGCAGATGCACCCTGTAAATGATAGGTTCCTCCAGGCCTCTGCACCACCCCTGGCTACACAGGCTGTGGCTACACCCTCTGGGGCTGCCCAAGCTGCACCATGCAGGGAACCCTGGAGCCAAACCAGGATGAGTCTAAAAGCTCCTCTGCCTCCCCACCACAACCTGGCTATACTCTCCAGTCATGTGTGCAAGGATCTCATGTCAGGCCTTGCAGTTTTGTGTCCAAACCTGGCTGATACCTGCCTGGGGAGACACCCCTGTGTCTGGAAAGGAAAAATAGCTTTGCTGTCCTGTAGGGATTAGTCGGGGGGACACAGGAAGGGTTGGGAAGTCCCTCCCCTCCTTTCAGGTAGATAGAAAAAAAAATAAAATCTACCCCCAGGTCACTATAATGCAGCATATTTTTAATAAAATGAGAAAATTGTTGCCTTTCAAAAGTACCAAAACCTGCTGGCATGTCAGTCAGGTTGGGTTGAGGAGAAAAGGGTTAACCAGTAAAACCCAGGCTCCTGGGGAAGAGCAGCTTCCACTGCTCCCTTCCCTGCTGCCTGGGGAGCAGGTGCCCACTCACTCATCCCCTGCTGCCTGTGGAGCAGGAGCAAGGCACCGCAAGCAAATTTTGCCCCACTGCTCAGCCCCCCAGGCACAGCGGGGCTCTGGCCAGGCCCCAGGAAACCTGGGCCTGGTGCCTCCAGTTGGCAGGAAGAAGAGGGGCTCTTTGTGCTTCTCTGAATGGCAACTGCAAAGCCCAGAACCTGTGGCACTGAGGCACCCCGAGGTGATGCTGGGGCTTCTGGGCAGCGCAGCCTTTGGCCTGTGACAGCAGCAGATGTAACCAAAAAGCAAACTAGAACAACTCAGCAAGCCTGGAGAACCATACCAGCCAGGCTGGGTTTTGCAGAAAAACCAGCCTGGGCTTAAGGGGTGCAGAGAAAAGTGGCTCGGAGCAGGGGTAAGGAACTGAGAAAACCAACCACGGAGGTACCGGCCTGCACTGCTGACTGCTCTCCCAGAGCAGAGCCCAGGCCTGGGGTAGGACAGGCTGGGAGTCCTTCCCTTAACTGCCTGTTCTACCTGGAGCACCTCACCTGCCTTGAGACAGGTTCAGGTTGGGACTTGACTCACATGGAGTTGTTTCAAAAAGAAAGCTAGTGTTCTGCTTGCCCTTTCCTCCAGTTGAGCTCTGTAGCAGTGACAGAAATGGAGGAGCATTAGCCAGAGGCAAGATGGTGCCAGGGAAAAGAGCTCCCTTGTTAATCGGTGACTTTAGAGAAGCCACAAGACAGAGGTGGGGCAAGAGTACCAGCAGCCTCGTGCTGGTTTTCCCCCCCAGGATGTGAGCCCCCAGGCCCATGCCTTGCCTGAAAGTCTTTGACCTATTAAGGCAAACGGAAAGGTTTGGAGCTGTGGCAGCCCAAAGCACTCCCTGGGCTTGTTCCAGCCCCTTCCCCAAGAAAAGCAGGTGGAAAAGTGAGTCACTGGTCCAGCCTATTCATACCCCACTCTGCTCCTCAGTGGATTCTCAGAAATCAAGCAAGTACCCCCAGGTGGAGGCAGGACAGCAGGCACGGCTTAAACACCATGGCCCCAGCTCCCTAGACCTTTTGCACAGGGGTCTCGCCTGGTGGGAGCTTCTTACTGCGCTTCTTCATGCGGCTGCGGGCATAGACACGGAGGAAGAGGGCCATGAAGACAACAGCTACGCCCAGCCCACCCACAACAGTGACAGTGTGCCCATAGATGAGGCAGGAGAGGAGGATGGCAAAGGCCTGGCGCAGTGTCATGATGATGGTGAAGACAGCTGCCCCAAACTGGTTGATGGTGTAGAAGATGAAGAGCTGGCCGCAGGCAGAGCACACGGATAGCAGCACAGCATGGGCCGTGAACTCCGAGTGCCGGGACATGAAGCGAACTGACTCTAGCAAGGCACCCTGCTCCAAGAGTGAGCCCACCGTGAAGAGGCAGGAGAAGACATTGACACCAAACATCATCTGCACAGGAGACATCTTGTAGGCAAAGAGGGCATCCTGCCAGTTAGAGGTGAAGCTGTCAAAGATTATGTAGCCAGCCAGGAGGATTATGCCTGAGAAAGTGGTGACAGTGGACACGTGTCTGTTGGGAGCACTGGAGAGCAGGAACATGCTGACCCCCACGGAGATGAGGGCAGCAGTCAGGTACTCCCAGTACTCGTAACTCTTGCGTGACACCAGTTTGCCCATCATCATCACTGGGATCACTTTGGAGGCCTTGGCCAGCACTTGGGTGGGGAAGCTGATGTATTTGAGTGCCTCATACTGGCACCAGCTGCTGAGGATGTTGGAGAGGGAGGCAAAGGAGTATTTGTACATAGGCGCCCCATGGCGTGGCTGCTTGGTCAGGGCGCAGTACAGACCAGCCACCGTGAAGGCCAGGATGCGGTTCATGAACACAAGGAACTGAGAGTCCTTGAACTTCTCACCAGGTTCCGTTTCAGTGGCGCCATACGTTCTCGTCATCACACGTTCCTGGAGGACGCCCCATGTGAGGTAGGAGGCCTGCAAAGCGGGAGGAGCACAGGGACAGTCAGGACTCAAAAACGGCAGCTGCAAGCAGCCGCAGGAAGAAAAGACCCCAGGAGACCCTTGCTTGCCCCAGCATTGCCTCACCCTCTGCACAGCAATGCAGCCCTGGGAGATGGGGCCACCTCCCACTCCACGCCTCTGAGGGAACCCAGTGTCCCGTCAGGTTACAACCGTGAACATCCTGTCCCCAACAAAACCTGCTCAGTTTACAGCCTCTTCAAGGGGAGAGAAGCCCTCAAAGCACACATCCTGGTGTATCGTGAGCTGTTACGCTGTGAGCTGCCTGTTGAACCAGATGGACAGAATCAGGGAATGTTATCTGTGCACGGCTGCAGTTTTGGTGCCAGCTCCCTGCAACAGGTCTTGCCAGTTTTCTCTGCACTGGTTTTCCACTTCCCGCTCCCCAGGCTTGGTTCTTCCACCCTAACCAATTCTAGTCTCAAACCCAGCAGACAAAACTGTTCTCCAGGGATTATCACTGTTCTGGCTGTCACCTCTGCTATGTCTGGTGCAAAAGCACCAAGCCCCTTGCAAAAGTAATACAGACTTCTTCTCACCACACGTCCCCTCCAGAGAAACTGAGGCACAGAGAGATGGAAAGACTTGCTGGTGAGCTGCAGCAAGTCTGAGTAGGCTGGGATAGGAAGCGAGCAAGTGGGTGTCTTCTGCTGGCTGCATGAGGTTTTCTTTCACAATGCTCACATTTCTACTTTTAGTCCTCACAGACCCAAAAAGCTGCCCTTCCTAATGTCACTCAGGCTGTAGCTGAGACTTAGGGAAACTCAGATTAAAAATTCCTGTTTGTCTGTAGCTGAATTCAGTATTTCTCCCCAGTATTTTAATCCAATCCATCAAGGCAGGATGCATCAGCTCCAGAAGGTGACCCAGAGATAAGAGGGAGATAAGAGGGCTAAAAATATTTGCTACTCTGACATGAGGGCCAGAACAAAAGCAGCCCTAACAATCTGCTGAATCACAGAATTTTCCCTATCCATGGCTGCAGAGGACTGCAAGCAGATGGACAGGAGTCCCAGCCCAGATGACACCAGCTTAAACAGGCCTCCACAGCCCTTAGAGGTGACACAGCACCTCTGGTGGACTACCCTGGTTGAGAGGCTGTGTCCCAGCCTCCAAACCTGCCCCGCTCCAGGACAGCACTTACATCCTTGCTTTTCAAAGAACTGATGGCCACAAACCTGCTGCCCACCCCCTCTTCCCATGAGAGGAATGGCCCACTCATGGGGCCCCTACCTGTAGACCAGCAGCGCAGAAGAGCAGCTTGAAGACCTGTCGGGCTGTAGAGGACTCTGTGGGCTCTGCTCGGGGTGGCAGGGAGCCATCCTCCTGGTGTACAGACTTCACCTCAGAGCCAAACACGCATGATTTGATGACAGGGAAACAAATGCCTCGACCTGAATGGGGTAGGGAAACACAGAGACAGAATTAACCAGAGCCTTGGGCACTACAAGCTGCACCAGCTTGAGAGGTGAAGCCGCCCTCTTTAACTGAGACAGCTCTGGGATGCATCTCTGTTAGCGGTTCAAGCCTGGTCTGACAAAGCAGGTTGGGGAAACAACTGGTCAGTATTCAACCGGGTTGCCCAAGGGTGTGCAGAGAGCTCAAAGGGAGGCAGGATGTGGAAGGGAAGCTCCTGCCATTACCTGTCTCCAGGTAATTCCTTCTCTTGAAGTACTGGATGAGGAGGAATCCCGGCACCACAATACTCGCGTAGCCAGCAGCATTAACAAAGAAACGGAAAAGCCAGAAGTCACCCCACGAGTCCTGCAGGGCAGGGACGATCTCTTCACCAGTAGCCATCACAGGGAGGGAAGCCAGCACGAGGGGAAGGCAAAATCTGCACAGAGGAAGAGGCAGATGATGGGCTGCTAGTACCTGGTCAGCTCTGCTCTGCATGCCCACACCACCCGCTGCCCAGCCTGCTCCCCACCAACACCCAAATCCTACCCTTACAAGAGCAGTGATGAAGGCAGCACATGGAGTAGGAAAAGCCCTCTGGAGTTGAAGAGCATATGCCAGACATTTATAAGTACTTATGTTAAGGGTGTTTGCTCTGGCTTAGGAACACGTGAACTTGGAAACTACGGTTTCCGGCACCAGAGAGATTGTTTGAACACTGTTGTAGCCATCAGGTTCTGACAACACCCTTAGTCCACATGCCAGAAGCACCTTGCACCTCACCGTTTTAGGTTAAACTTCAGCACAGCTCCCGGCTGGAAAAAAAGAAAAGGTCATTGAGTGGAAAAAGTGACTCCTACCTAGCACTGGTCACGTTTCAAGGCTGTGGCCTGAGCAGCCTTCCTCTGAGAGCAAACACCTCAGAGCTTTCCCCTCTGGCTGCGCAAGTGAGTGGAGGAAAGGAGGGAGGCTCAGGCTGCCAGCCTCCCCCACTGCCCCACGCAGCCCTGGCAGGGAGTGTGCCAAGGCATTCCCCACAGCCCAGAGGAAACTACCAGGGTCACCCGCTCGGCAAGACACAGCCAAAGAGCAAGGCTGAGAAGGAACTACCTTGCCAGCTGCCTGGTTGGGATTTTACCAGGACTATCTGATAAGGCATAGCTGATTATTCTTCAGCTACAGCCCTAGGTGGTGACCTAGCCAGCTTTAAAACAGCTTTAAAACTCCCTGAAGGAGTTTTTCCCTTCGCTGTCCCCTTCCTCACAGAGGCAAACCTGTGGGTCACACAAAGAACAAGAGCACCAGGTACACAACAGAATGAGCAAGCAGGCAAGAACTTCCTACACCCAAGGCCGCATGTGCATCCCCCCTCCCACAGTAATCCACTGCGTCCCGCATCAGGGTAGAATGTTTCCTTCGTCCATGCTCTATCCCTGCCTCAGTTTTCCCAGTAGAGAAAGCCTCCGGATCACCTTGGGGGCCAGGCGAGGGTGCTGTGGGGCTGGCTACATAAACATGCACCAGGAGAAACTGAGCTCCTGTGACAGAAAAGGGACAGAGATGTTAATCCCCTGTCCCCCAAAAACAAGCGAGTCAAAGGAATTTAGGCCCTGTTTAGGGGTGTACCCGGCCCCAGTACAACATTGCTGTGACCTCTGGTAGCCCTCACATGAAACTCACAGACTTAGAAACTCAGAGCTTTAAAGGCAAGAAAGTCCCATCATTTCATGCACGAGCCCCCCCCATGAACCCCCTGTCCCCTTGGGAAAGGCCTCAGGGGCTTTTCTTATCCTCAGTTGCTGTGGCCAGGCTCCCAGAGCCCAACAACCTGACCTAAGCCGAGGCTGTGTTTCACTCTGAAATCTCCCTTCTCTGACTTAAGGACCCAGAAATTCCCAGCCTGGGGAGAAGTGCAAACAGCTGAGGGTGGGTTTCTGTGCCTGCTTCCAATTCCTCCCCCTGCTCTCCCCCGCAGAAAAGGCAGATTGACACCTCCACCCCTGTCATCTCCTGCTGCAGGGGCATCACTACAGGATGCAACAACAGGGTTTGGTGCAGGCACCCGGGGCTGAAGCTGCCCACATGCTGGTGGGTTTGCCTGTATTAAGTAACCCTGGTTGATCACAGAAACCCTCTTGTTGTGCAGAGGGTGCAGAAACGCCATTTGCTTTTGCAGAAGTCAGACACAAACGGCAGGGTCGGTTGCTACACTCACGGGCCACAACTCCAGAGCCGAAAACCCAGCCAGCTTTGCTCAACATGACTGTGCCTGCTGTTACCCCGACGGCCCCCTCAGCGTGGCCATGGGAGGAGAACCAGCTCTGCTCTCCCACAGCGACTGTGAAGAGAAGGCTATGAGGGACAATGGCTCTCTCTATGCCTGCGCTAGCAATTCCCAGGCCCCGAGAGCTGACTCAGTGCAGCGGGGGCTGCCCTCCCCACCGAGGCTGGGAAGGAACAGGGACGCCAGTGTTACAGGTAGAGCTCGGGGGGGCCGCGCAGAGCAAGCAGGCGGCACTCTGAGGCATGAAAGGAGCCTTAGTCTGGGCCCTGCAAACA